GTGAGGCCGCGGGTACGCGAGTTGTGGTGGGTGGGCGCACATGCGGACGTCCCCTCACTCTCCCCCTGGAAACACCATTCCCCGTCTGATCTCAGTTTCACCCAGGGGATTACCGGACTTCGAGTGGGGAGAACCGCGGGGTCCAGCGATCCTCTCTCAACTCAAGGGCGGGTGGCGAAGGTAGTTTTTCTCGCCCACGAAAGCGTCGGTTTTCTTTTCTCTCTCTTTCTTTGTCTCGAAAAGGACAGCGTCAGGCTCCCGCAGGCGCGGACAGTGGGGCCCGCAGTTCGGTGGTCCTGTCCCGTCGCCCGCGACCACCAACCCCGAGCCGGGTACGCCGAGCCAACGGCCCCGACCCGAGTGCCCGCACCACACGACCGGGACCCACCCCCACCTGCACACGTGATTGGGCAGTTGGGGGGTGCCGTAGCATAGCGGAGCGGGGGTGAGGGCACGAGCGTGAAGAAGCGGGCGGGCGTCATCGGGCGGAGGATTGGCGGTGGAGGTGGGCGAAAGCGAGACTGACGCCGGTGGTGTTGGTTTTCCCCTGCGGTAAATCGACGTTACGAGCTGGGGCACAGGAAATGAATGAATGCGACGGGGAGGGAGAGAGGGTGATGCGATCGGCCTGCTGCCAAAACAGTACGGAGATGTGACAGGAGGGGAGCCAGGAATAAGACTATTGATTGCTAGACGCCACGGAAGACTATACACGGCCTGTCACCTCCTCCACTCCCTGTTGGACAGCAACCTTGGAGGGCGGGCTCAGCGCCACTGCTTCTACAGCTTTGGGATGTGTTCCAGTGGGACTCTTTTACATGACAACATCGAAGGAAGCACCGTCGCGGCAAACTCAATATGCGTCGTCGCCGTGGAACTCGTGTACACCGAAGCGAGCTTGGTCGATGAGGGGTGCAAGAGCTGCGTCCCGAACGCTGAAGACGTAAGACCCATTTCAAGCTCGGGGTTACTTTTGGGTGTGCAAGTACGTGAAAGGTTGGTGTACGTAGCAAGACAGGCGAGTCCATGATGTGTTCGCTGTTTTGCCTGACAGAAAGGGGAGGCTCACACGCGCTGTTCTTTCCACCGGGGGAGGGTCTACTCGTCAATGATGAACCGCCGAGGGGGGGAGGGGCTTCTCATCCTGCAGTCAGTCGTGGGACTGAGATGCGCAGTGAGGTATGTTCTCACCTAGTCCTGCGTTATCTCAGAATTAAATATGCACTCTTGCTGGTAATTATAGCTATAGGAACAAACAAATGCTGTTGTCCTGCTCAGGAGTCCATGTGAAGAAAGCCGGAGTGTAGATTATTACTGTCCATTTCTCAGTACAGTGAAAAGCAAGATTCTTAGTGGCCCAAGATCAACATCAAAAGTCGAAGAACCAGCCATATATTATTTATTATATGGCTTGGTTTACGTACAAGATGCAAACTACAAAAGACATACTTGTGGGGTGCATGTTCTTTTCTAAACCTTAACAACTATGACATACTTTGTAATGGAGCAAAAGAGAGACATTAGGAAAACTATTTGGTAGTTGTCCTGTTCAAGCAAGAGATTGTCCTAAATCCTAATGAGGATGTCTAAGAAGCTTTCGAGTCCTTGTCCTAAGGAATCTACATTCAATGACATGGAGGTTAGCAGTAGTTTATTTGTAAAATTAAAGAAAAGAAAGATACAATTCCAAAAGGTAGACAGCAACAAATTTATAGTTCACCAAGAGAATCTTGAAAAATCTTCTTCTTACTAACATAAAATGTTCCTCTGATCTCCTTTGTGCCCTAAAAGGCATGTGGAATTTGCACAGAAGTATTTCATTTATCATTTCTTTTTCCTCCTTACTTTGCAAGACACAATGTTGAGTATAGCAGAGATGTGAATAAGATACTGCCGTATGGTCATAGTATTTAAGGGAAAGGGACTATCAATAAACTTCAGTTCTTGGTTCCATAATAAAAGGGCAAAATAAGGTTTCATGGTATCCTACATGTCATCATGGTCAGATGGTCCAGAGTTATACAAATATATGCACATTAGACATATATTGTAGATAAAGTCATTAATTGTTCATGTCATATGTATTGAAGCTACAGAAACCAGAATAAAAGAAAAAGTCATTTAGAATCACTAGTAGTCGGATTAATGATGTATAATTAATTACATTGAGAGAAAACTGCAAGTAGAATCAGTACAATGGAGCAGAAGCATTACTTGAGAAATCACTTTGTCACTGTAAGTAAAGATGTAAACTGTACCATTCAGTTTATTGAAGCCAGAAATACATAAATATGTCACTGTACCATTTAACACACCTAAGAGATGGAATGAAACATTCATAAATTGTTTCCAGATACACTCTACCAAATATCTACTATACTTCTTCTTCTTCCATTTACATAAATCTACTACACTTCTTGTTGACCAAATAAATCAATCTTTTTACACCAAATATGTACTTAATGTTAAAGGTCTTAACAGTCATCTAACCACTGAAGCTATATAATAAAATTCTCTGTGTATAAGTGTGTGTGTGTGATGATATAGGATCTTTTTTTTGTCACAATATATTTTCTTCATCTTCATGTTGCAATCAATATATTATAGTTCTT